AGGGTTGGAGCTGAACTCTGCAGGACTGCGGCTCTCTAGGACCGAACTTGCCTACCCCTGCCCTGGGTTAAAGATATACACTGTCTGTCACCATTTCCCCCCTTGATGTCACTGATTGCCTAGATGTCTCACATTCAACATACAGAACTACCACATTTTGCTATAAGTTTGATTGCATCATATAATAATTGCTGTTAATAGTGTTCATCGTCTGTTTTATTACGTCTTAAATAGATTTTTCCGTACATTTCTGCCATATGTACATTAATTGACAGTCACCACTGATAAGCTACCACTAAATATTGTAGAAACTTAATTTGCTGTAAAGTTGCTTTGCAATGATTTGTATCGTGAAAAGCGCTGTACAAATAAACTTGACTTGACTTGACTTGACATTCTCAATCTTTGAGATTTGCCCTTTTTTTAATTTGTGCAAATATTTAATCTCCCATGAAATATTTATTTATTTTTATTTACTTTTTTATTCATGCATAGAGAAAAAAAGGAAAGCTTTATTCAAGCTTATTTCTAGCTGTTTTAGGGTTTGTTTACACTTATAGTTAATTTTGAGTAGAGAGGAGCTATATTAATAAATGTCAATGTAAATAATATAAATAAATTAAACTTAGCGTCCACTTAGCGTTCACACTGTCATTTTTAACACTGAACCTAATGATACCAAAGGCATAAGGACACAGTCACCTGATTGGATGTCTTTTATGGTGTATATTTTGTATGTGTGTACATATATGGTGGTATGACAGTTTTTACCAGCTAATGGCAGTTCACACTAACAGAACCACACTAAACCTGAGTTCATTTTATTTGAATCAAACCTGCCTAAATGTGAATATGCCCCAAGATTAATCATAAACAAGTTTAATTAATTTCTCAATATGTGGGCCACATTACTCCTTTTTATGTTTAGTATCCATTTTGAAGTGGCTCTTTGTTGCTTTTGTTAACCAGCTGTGAAAACATAAAGAGGTTTGCTGACATCCCTTTTCGAATATCAGCTCAAACATGTTGTTGTGCGCCTGCAACATCATCAACATCAGTGAGCTGTTTTCCATCAGCCTTTTGAGTTTTCTTTCATAGAGTGGATAAAAAGAGAAGGTAACAGATATGGTCAGTGTCCATATGTAGTATTGTCTGTTGTAGATTAATGGTGCCTGTGTGTACTGTGGGAAGTTGATGGAGATTACACCACCCAGTGATGAAATTGCTTGTTATTGAGCAACTTGAATACTCCCCCATGGATCAAGCCAGTTGAAAAGCAAGTCAACTACTCACAAATGCGAATGCTTTTGTAAGCCATATTGTAATGTTATGTGATTCTGGTTGTTTTCATGTGGTTAGCAGCTTCTTCAACTTGCTAGATGGATCCTCCCACAAAGACGCCTTCTTGTATGATGTGCCCATGGTCTAGCATTAACAGTCACCAGTGAAAATTGTCTTATGCTGGTAAATACAACTTACATTTGATGTTAAATTTTTTTTTTTTTTTGGAAAAATATCCAATAGAGAAAAACAGAAAAAAGATATTGTTGAGACTTCATCAGAGCAATGGATAGAACCCAGATTTACGGAGGAAACAGGTTCCTCCCCAATGTAAGTCACAGACAACAATGGGCTTTCATGTAATAACAGGATAAACTTTTGAATGGAACATGGAAATTAAAGAAAAAGTATCAGTTAGTGTCTGACAGAGCAAAGAGTTTATTCATAATTCAGATGTATATTGTTTTCAGATTAGGTTTGAGTAATGTTTATTTAAAATATGGTACTTTTGTGGTAGTGTATTCTTTTCTCTGGGGCTCTAAGGTCGTCTTGCTCATACTTCTGCAAAATGAGAAAAGTTGCATCTTGAAAAAGGCTGTGCATTTTCACATTTTGTATGTTTAACTTTGATGCTATTTTTACCAAAGGCTAGATATGAATAATAAATAACTGAAAGCAGAGTTGACTGATAACCTCCTCTCTCAGACCAGTGCTGTTAGCACTATATTTTTTGTAGGGTTGCATTATGTTATAAGGGGTTTTATATTTGAATATTATTATTATTATTATTATTATTTGTCCATCATAAGGTTGGTTTTGGTTATTTTTGTCATGACTTGCAGGTGTGTGTCATGGTAAGGAAAGTGGTTATCATGCAGTGAATTCACATCACTAAAACTGCTTTATACTACCTCCAAATTATGAATAAAAGCAGTAATGAGCTGTGCTCTGCCCTCTGTTCTGGCAGAAGAGGAGCAAACACACATGCACAGGCTGAATATCACCTCATATTCAGTCTACTGAGCTCATGTTTTCACAGAAAGTCGATCCTATGTTTGTGACTGTTTGCATTTTGAGATAACAACCCAAAATGACACTCCCACAAGAAATGATAACATTATTTAATATCATTTCCTCTCAGGCTGCAGGTGTCCCTCTCTGGTTTCTCTTTTCAGCTCCCCAAACCCCCACAGTCAGCACAAATGATGCCCACTACTCAGAATTGTTTGACATTTTAATTTATTTACTTGTTAAAGTGATTCCAAGAGGCATTACCAACTAGAGAATGTTTGGATCATGACATCTTCATCAATAAACTATATACGCAAAATATATGACAGTGCTGTCTTTTGCAAAATGAAACTTTATTTAGCGTTATTTAACTTGTAGCATCGTTCAGTTGGTCAAATGCATTTTAAGATAGGGAATGCTGTGTGCAGTTATATAAACATGTTTTATTCTGTTTTTATCTGTCAAAGGAAGGCCAGAGCATATATTTGTCATATTATCAACCCCAATGCCAGCGTTATTTAACTTGTAGCATCGTTCAGTTGGTCAAATGCATTTTAAGATAGGGAATGCTGTGTGCAGTTATATAAACATGTTTTATTCTGTTTTTATCTGTCAAAGGAAGGCCAGAGCATATATTTGTCATATTATCAACAGTGTCTTTTGTCTTTCTTTTGCCTCTTATTTGATTTGTGTAGTTTTGTTTTCCTTTGGTCCTGAAAATGCAAAGTCATGCAAGACTTTATTAAAAAGTTTAACTTATTTTAACCTGAGCGCTGCGTCATGTGTGAAATGATGTAGAAAACACAGCATCACAGTTGAGTGCAACATAATGTGTGAACAGCCTACGACATTTGCTCCAATTCAGGACATAGTTGCATGTTTGGTTTCATTGCTGTTCTTTCAGACTGCAGACCTCAAAGCTGTGCATTACCAGCAGGAAATGAAATAGGTTACTGAATATCATCACAACTGTTATTACCTGCAGCCTCGTGCCTGTGGCCAAATCATGGTCGAGCTGATATTCAAAACAGCAACACTTTTGCTAATGCGATATTCCTTAAATATTAGGGCTGGGCGATATGGCCAAATAAATTATCACAATAATAATCAATTTAAAATTATCATAATAATAAAACAAATTTCATATAGATAATGATCACGATAAATGTCAAATCTTTATTTCTTTCAAGTTTAAAGACAGATTTTTGCTCCAAAGTGAAGGTTGTAGAAACCAGACCATTAATTTTCCTT